AGGTCCTGCTGGCTGAAAATGGCACCTCAACTTTTTCAGTGAAGAAATACATCCCAGGGGTTGCACATCAATGACACCAGTGACACCCTGAAGAGCAGAGATATTACCACTCCAGCTCTAATTTGAATGGCTTCAAATTACCTCACATATATACACACACACACAGAGCCTGATAATTCTTTACATGACAAACTTCTAAAAAACAATAAACATTATAAGCACAACAGCAAGCTATGGTGTTATATTTGTAATAAAATCTTTACCTTCTACACCTTTTAATTCTAAAATAGTTATCCTGCACACTGTCTTAAACTTTTCACTCTCTTCAGCAAAAGGCCAACAGACCAAACACTGATAAAACACAGCTATGCTGTTGGGAAGAAAATGCCATGGAATCCATCCTGCAAAGGCAGCATTTCCACTGACATAAATGGGAGAAAGATAGAGCTGCTGGGGAATAGAAACTGCAGAATTACAGGATACATTCCAGAAGCCAACTTCATATATATCCTAAATGCTATCTGATGTTGTGTATGCACACACGTGTATACATGTATACACAAATAGATACCTGTTTAAATATATGAGCATAATGTTTGAACTTTTAATATAATACGTGCTTTAAAATAAGTACATAAAATAATCTACAATTTAGCTTAGTCACTGACAGGTGAGAGGGACATGAACTAACATTTGGCTACGGATACAGCTCACAGACTTGAGTTGCATGGGCAAAAAAATGATGAATTATGTTGCTCTCAACATTTTCTCCCAGATAGAAAACTTATTTTAGATTTCTGTATTGTTCTTCCAATGCAGCTGAGGAGTCACAACAAAGTCACTCTTCTGATCTCAGAAAAGTGCTGTGTATTCTTTCCATATGGGGTATCCAATGTTTTAAAGGAAAGCAAAGGATACCGTGCAGTCAAGTCAGCACTCAGTGGAAAGGTACCTGACTCAATTTCTACTCACTTAGACAATCCCTGAATTCACCTCTTCAGTGGAAGTACAGAACCATTTCTATTTTGATATGCCCTCTGTTGGGACAATACTCTTGGAAGAAGATCCTTAATTAGATCATTACTGGTTACTATAATCTGCCCAGTGCAGAAGCAGCAATGGAGATTTTAAGGATGCTGCAATATTCCAAAAAATTAGAATAATAAGTCCAGTAAATAAGTATTATTACTTAACCAATAGTCTGAAAGTGAGACACTAACACAGCACCAACAAAGGTTCAGAACCTAAATATAAGGCCTTGTCTTAAATGAAAAAAATTAAGCAATATTTCTATGCAAGAACATTCAGGGAACCCTTTGCAACCAAGTGTTAAGTCTGTATGGAGCTGCTCTTCATGAGCTTCACATAACTGGGCACACTCCAGACTTGGAAACAAGCCTGTCCTTTGGGCATTCCTGACAGGAAGGCAAGAGTCACAAAGACTTAAACTGAGATAATGGAAGGATGAGCTCAAAAGATCCAAAGTACCTGAAGGCTTGCTAAAAGGCAAAAATCTATTTCATGCAAGAAAGATCATAGTTTGAAATAACAAATCTTGGTATATACAGCTACATATAAAATACTGAGCAAATCACAATCTGGGCTGGTACATGGGGAGCATTTTTTAAATTACAAAATCGAACAGTTCAAGTGTTAAAAATACTCTTGAAATTTGTCAGTTTTAAATAAAATGATCGGCAGTTTAAAAAAGAAGTACAAAATACATCATGAGTATATGACATTTCTCTTATACACACAATGCAAGGAGAACAAATATATTTCTTGGTTTTGCTCAAACAGAGCATCAATAAACTGAAGTAAGAACACTTATTCTTGCTAGGATTACTTATGAGGATTTTGACAACTATTTCCTACCAGCACTGAAATATCTTCAGTAGAAGATATACAGCATGGGGACTAGTATATATGAAAATTAATACACGGAATCTTGCAAGCATTATTGTTATATTTTCCTATGGTAAATATCTGCTCTACCTTGGTTCAAAGCAACATTTATAAATCAAATTATTTTCTTCATTGCTTTATGTTGGTTCTAACTTACTAAATTCAAATGTTAAACTAATACACTGAAAATGAGGTTACCAACCTGAAAGGCAAATACAGACTCTTCTTTGTAATTGAAGAAAGGTTACTTGTCCAAAGCAGTATTCTATCCTCTTCTCAGCTAATTTTCAACTAATTGGTTTTCTGTATATTAAATTTATGTTTCCTAAAGCATTAAAGCTAGTTTCTAATGCTGTATACATAACTCGTTGAAAGATCATGAACATGAACTGTTAAGATAAATTGTCCCAACTGAAGGCAAACAAATGAAAGGCAAAAATACATTTAAAACAGCATAATTAGAACGAATATATTATATCCTCAAAATATTGGTTTATAATTGTTAAATATTTTCAAATTCCACTGTATATAGGTAATAATACTTGATTTTCTGACTTCTTACAGTCCTCATTCAGCTGAAATTCTGGTTTCCTTTTGTATTTTCCCAACATCAAATGCTGCAACTTTGCATTTCAACCCAATCTGCCCTGTCTTCTACTGCAGTAACCAGGAAAATTGTGCACGAAAATTAATACTTCCCCATATGTTTTTCTACATTATCTCTTCTAGTCAAACTCCCTTCTCAGAGCTCCAATATTTTGCATAGCAAAACACTGGACAGTATTTTGTCACTCTGCAGGAGCCATTCTAGGTCATTCTGTAGAATATGGTGTCCTCTTGTGGTCTTGGAGGTTCCCTAAATGTGAGATGTGTCACTGAACACCAAATTTAGAGCTGGCATCAATGACAGCAGGAGCTTTTGATGCCACTAACATTTAGAATCACCTTCATCAGCCTCATGGTACCAAACAGTGGACTGAAGACATGCAATGAATAACAGCATTCAGGCACAGACCTGAAGGATATAAAAGCACTAACACCACCTTCCAAAAACTGTAAAACAGTGATTTTCAGCTATTTACACATGGAGGGCAATTTTTTTACCAATATGTTATTTGGGCATCTAATAACACTGAGGATCTGTAAAGGATATGAAAACCGTAGATTGACGTAAGAGACACTTTTGTGAGCAGAATTCAGCTACTGAAACTGCTCTTCAGGCACCGATGCAAGATTGTAATGATTAATCTAAGAACAGGAAGACAGCTCCAATTCTATCAGAAACAGTATAACTAATATCAGAGAGAAAAAATACCTATTGAAATCCAAGTGCATATCTAAAAGGGAACGTGCTTTGGTAGCCACTAAAGTTCAAAAAGCAGCATGAAAAAAGTAGTATTGGCAATATCTCTTCTAATGTTTATTGCCAAATATTTGCATGTGTAACATCCTGCACAAACCCCTCATCCTAAACTGAAAGTTCTACAGAATTCCATGACAGACACTCTCACATGAATTAATTAATTTTACACTGATGTTTTTAAACTTTCCTTTTAAACCTTCAACTTGCTCTGCCATGGAAGGGAGGGCCATCTCCAGGCCATTAATCCACCTCAGTCAGCCACACAAGGCAGTTATTTTCTGAGGAGCTACTGCACGAAATGATACAAAATTCCTGAAGGCAACACATCCTGTGACATGTACAGAAAACAGCACCACTAAAAGACAAAGAAATTCCTACACAATGTGCTGTGCAAATAAGCTCTTGTGTGACAAACTGAGGTAAAAGCTCTTGCAAAGCTGATGTGAGAGCGTCACACTCTGACTCCCAAGTTATTTACACCAGGTAGCCAGAAGTATAATCACTAATAAACTAAATATTAGCTTATAATCACTAAACTAATACACAGAAGTATAATCACAACTCAACATAGCAGTCTTTCAGGAGTCCAATGGATGGCACCCCTTTGTTACTGTAAAAAGATACTTTTTCTGAGACCTGATAGGAGAGAACGTGGGTTTGTGCAGGATTAAGGTAGAACTTTGGCTCAAAGCTGAAGCACTAAAAGAATAAGCAATGTAAATTTTTTAATGAGTTGCTCAACTGATAATTCTGTATGCATCAACCGTGCAACTGAATTTGTAACTCAATTAGTATTTAAAGTAATTAAGGATGAAAGACTATCAAAAAAGAAAGCTTAAAAGGAGGCTTTTGTAATTTACTGAAGTGGCTGATACTCCATCACTTCAAAAAAGGAGAATTAGTTATGTAACAAAGAAGAAAATACATTGTTTCTATTACAAAACCATCCACTAAAAATTAAATGAAAAATGCATGAGCTTCTAACAGATGAAAAAAAAAACCAAAAAAGATCTCATAAGTATTTTCATTTCCCAGGTTCACAGGCAATGAACAACCACATCAGCAGTGGACTTTATGCCAAGCAAACAGAATTGCAGGTTTTACTGATTAATTTTAATATACTTACATCACCACCACTTATTCCAGATTATGTGCATTACTGCCCTTTCACAGCACCTGCTCATTTTTGGAGTACACATGGGAAACCATTGGAGTCAGATCAGTTACTACCTTTAAACAATCACAGTCCAATTCATTGACATCTGAAAGTAAGTAAGGAATTTATAATTTTTTTTCTAGTTGTTTATGAAATTTTATATTATCTCGTACAAATTAGCAAAGATGATTTTTCTAACACAAAGTTGCAACAGAAATATTTAATTAATTACTCACCACTGTTAATTGCTGTCATTTAAAAAAAAAAAATGTAGTAGAGACTTCATTTTACATATGGAGCTGTCCAGTACAGTTTTTGAGGTTCTGTGCATTTGTTTAGTGTATATGTCATGAATATTTCATTTAATAGAACCAGTTTTCTTTTCAGTAAGTGGAAAAATCATTGCATTACCTACATCAGTGAACCTGCACCTGGTAAGGGGAAAGTCTGTATAAAAATAGCAGGTACTGTCTAGCAGGTGTAAAAACATTTATGAGTCACCTCTTTTATTTGTGTATGAATGAGAGAGGTTTTTTCCCCCCAACTTTTACTGATACTGTGAGTTCTTTCAAGTACCTTGTTTCCAATGGCCTTTTTTGGTGGAAAGTTAAAAGTCCTCACTTGCTGGTATTTACTCTGTAATTTATGATGCAAGCTTCTGAACTCTGCATATCTTCGATAAACATTCCATTCATCATCCTTTATCCTGATATAAACCTGCAAAATACAGACATGGAAGGAAACAGTGTAAAGACAAACCCTGAGATGATTTATCTCCTCACTCTTCAAAGCCTCATGTGATGCATCACATCACAGCACCAGAAGTTCCAGGATCCCATAGCCACAGGTACAGCTCTGACTGTGCCTTTGCTGTTCCTATTGCACAGGTCATTAACCTTATTTTCTCTCTTTTTCCCTTTCTTTTACCTTCTTTCTCTTATTTTAATCAAGACAAACACAGCTTGCTTATTTGAACATGACTGTGGGGCAACCATGGCAGCACTTTTTGTTACCATGGTTTCCAGCATATTCTGCTACCCAGTGACCAAAGGAAAAAAATAATTTAATACCACTATAAAATTGATTTCTATGTCCTCAACACAGTTTTTCAACTTTGTAAATTAGCTTTGTAGCATCAGAATTTCAAAACATAATTTTATCCCAAGTATGAAACTTAATTTACTTCCTAACAAAATTACATCGAAAACTAAACTAGAAATTTTATTGTTTGGAAAATAAACACAGTTCATTCTTTCTGCTTGTATAGGACATTAAGTATAATTTAACACAGCTGTAGTTTTTGTGATTCTGCTTTTGTTTGCCACTCATTATTTCATGAGCATATTACCAATTACATGCTAAATATTCACATTCTCTGGGAAAATTTCATGGAGAAGTGAAATATACTTCCAGAAAACTGAGTTTTCACCCTTTTCTCGGGGAATAACCTTTCCTCCACAGGAATGAACCTACAGTTTAAAAGAATGCTGAAACAGCACATCAGAAACTCTAAACCAAGCATTAGAACTCAAGATCCAGAGGGACCTTTTCCTAAGCTGCTTTATAGAATCTGTCACTTATTCATTCTGGTGTGTGTGCCAATAATCTCAGCATTCTGCATCAGGAATGAAGCTGAAATGGTCCTGATGACACTGCCTTGCCCTGCTGCTCCACAAACCCCCAGGAATTCATTAGTAAGCTGTAAGATAAGTATCAGGAGAACCCTCATGTGAAAAAGCAACCCCGAGGAGGGGGCAGTAACAACGGTATTTTGGGGAATACTCAGAAAAAATGAACTTTGGATTTTGATGTGGCCGATTTCAGCAGCGAATTGCAGCTTTTCCTGGAGATTGAAACATTAACATGGTCCTTCTCCTCTACATTTGACAAGTCCTTAGAAAAAAATTATACTTTACTAAGGACTTGTGGTATTTTAGAGATCAAGGGATGTCAAGTGAATGCCTCCTCCCACATAAGCAGCTCATGCAGCCTTTCTTTGGTTTGGTCTTTATCAAGTCCTTTTATTCCTGCAGACACCTAGTTTTTCAAATTTATAGGAGGCTTCTGCCCTTGCAACAAAATGCAATATACCATGCAGACACCATTCTGCCAAATTAGACTATTTCAGTGTAGAAAATACTAATACATTTTCTACAGGAATACTGCAATTCCAAAAAAGGAATACTACGATTCCAAAATTAGCACATCTAAGAATTCAAAAGATTCAGAGTATTGTGTGAATTACAAATGCAGATGTAAACAAAAATTCAACTGGTTTTGGTAACAAGAATTCAGATAGTGTAATGATGGAACCACAATAGTAAGTCTGCAAGAAGTATTCAGATTTCTTTTCCACTTTGAAAATAAGGCCAGGATAATTAAACTCCTACAGGACCATCTGTTTGAACAATTAAGTACATCTTTCAAAGCAAATGAAGGGATATATGAGATGCAAGTATTTTGCATAATTCTAATAAAATTTATTTAATGTAGTAAAAACTATATTAAAATCTTTATTCGTCCAGATCTAACCCCTCTCCCTGCCTGTTCTCACTTCCACCAGCACGTTGTTTGGAATTTTGTGTACATTCCCAAGATTCATGATTCAATTTCCCTACGGGGGGCGGGGATGATAAAAAAAAACAAACTTCAATTATTTTTAACTAAGTCATTTAATATGGAAACCTTAATTTAACTAAGCAGTTATCTTTGCACATGTGATTTGGTGAATCATGCAGTTCAACATTACCTGTTAAGCTGTAACCCATAGTTAACTAATTAAGGAATCCGGTACACTGTAATTGAAATTTTTAAGGACTGCAAAACCATAGATTAATTTCTTAGATAAAACCACTAGAAAATTTCTTACTGTTCTTCTATGTACATAGATATTGATTTCATTTAAGCAGTAAGAAATGAAAATGCAACATTTGGAGCCCTGTGCCATATTGAATTTATTGGCAATCATATAATAGAGTATGAAAGGTATATTAAAGTTCACAATGCAGTACAGATTTAAACCTTCATTATCTCAGAAGGGAATACTATTCCCTTGCCAAGACAATGCAAATTCAGTTGGGAAATCAAACAAAGCAAATACTAAATATAAAATTATTTGGATAAACTTATCCTAGTGTAGTCATTTAAGGCACATAGTTATCCCCTTCTACCTCAAATACAGATCACACCAGCACAGGAAGATCAGGGAAGGATTACTTTTGCAGACAAAATTTTGAAGTAATGCTAAATCAAGCAACTTGAGATGCATGGTTTGAAACTGTGTCAAAAGTCATTAGGTCTTTTCCCATCATCTTCAAGGTATCCACAATTTCATTCACAATCTTTTGATAGGAAATGAGTGAAATCTGTAATTGCCAACAGACACTTTTGTGTCTTTTTGTCCCAAATTATTTCGCTGTACCCCAGAGCAACACCACCTTTTGCTACAGCAAATACCTTTGCAAATGACACATAATTACAGAACAGTATTTTAAGATCATGTTATAGAAAGTTTAAAAGACTTAAAGGACTTTTAGTCCTTATTCTCTGATCAATTTAAAAAAAATCAATTCTAAATCATTACAATTCCTTTCTAATGCCTGTGTTTTCCTGATATCATCCACTTCCTAACCTAGTTAAGTAATTTTCAAGGTAATGAAAACTTACAGACTCAATCAAAATCACTCCTAGAATGCTTATTTGTTTGTAGACAAAAGATTTGATTTTAATATTCTCTTGAATATTAAAAAATTAGCTAAGTAGCTTCTGCTTGTAATTAAGGAGCACTTTCCATTTAGGTCTCCCATGTAAAGATTGATTGGTAACCTTTCTGTAGCTATGATTTACAGCAGCTCCAAAAAAAATTTCAGTTAATAAGTATGTATAATGAATTAGTCTGTTATTTTCTCATCACAAAAACATCTGAAGTCAAAGATTTGGAGAGCAATAGCAATAACAGTTGCAATTTAATATTGTGTTTATCAGCCAACTACTTTCTAACTTAATATTACTGAAATGCCAAAAATCTTCTGAGACTCAATTTGAAAGCATTGGTTTAATGATTGCATACTGAAATGAAAAATCCTACTCCCATGGTCCTGCTTTTTGAGCCTAAAGTTTCTTTAATAAGTTAAGAAATCTTTTAAGCAGTTCTGAGTCCAAAATGCTGTTAACAAGTCCTGGTAAGAGACTAGTAACAGTTGACCCAGTTCCTTGCTACTTGTGTATAAAAGCCTGAGGAAAATAAAGGACAAATGCCAAAATTCCAACTTGCTCCATTTCCAGTGTACACAGACCAAATGCCTGCAACCAACACTCGTTCTTCAGGTCTGTAGGAGTCCAATGTGGGTGCTTTTCTTTTTGATGCAAAAATATAGATTGGTATATTGAGGATTCACTTTTGTGTCCCTCTCAATGCAGTGAGTAGCAAGATACACTGACTGGGATATTACAGAACCTTCTTCTGTTGCAATGACATCCATGGTTATAGAAATTGCAGATTAAGCATCAAGAAGGATCTCCCCTAAATGAAGTTACTCCTGAATCTTCCCCGCAAATATGGGGAAGTTCCTGGTAGGATGATCTGAATACATAAAGAAAAATGAATTCTAGCCAGAGAACTCTTTATGTGAGATCCACAAATACAAAAATGCTGAAGTTAAAGTCCTTGTGAGTCCATGGCCTATTCCTGAGGCAAGAAAAATGTCAGAAAGGGAGGGAACAACGCTAAGGGAAGGTGAGTAGTGAAACTCTACTAAACCACATATAAAATTCAGTGGCACGAGATGCAAGAGAACTTGGGACATTTCAGCAGCAGAACACTTCAAAGGACATAAAGAACACTGAGAATGTTTGTAAAGAACAAGTCCTAGGCTGGACAAGGTCATAGCTGCCTTAGAAGCATGGGGAAAAAAAATGTTGGGCAGCATAAGTAAAGCAAAGGAGACTGATCTACAGTAAGGAAGCTACTGTGACCTTTACCACCTCAGTAAGCATTACCAGGGGATAAAAAAAGGGTGAGAGAAAAAAGCTACTATTTCTATACTACTGTATTTCTAACTTCCTTTCCCTCACTAAAAAAAGAGAGTTTTCTGGAGGTCCTCTTGTTTATTACATACTTTCAAATAAATGCCCAAGTGTGTGACAACAAAAAAGAAAAATGAGCAACTGGTTTGGTAGAGACAACCCAATCAGCATGAATACAAAAACATTACATACACATTGGCACCATTATTTTTCACTGTTAACTCAGCTAAGCTTGACTAGTGAATGTTTTCTTTACATTTGTTTTTAAATAACACTCTAAAATTTGGAGTACCATTGATCCATAGCTTTACCTTTATACTAATAAAGTTTTTTTTTAACTCTTAAAACTCTGACTCAACTTTAATGTACATCTTAATTATTCAGGAACACTAAATTAAAGAGATTTTGATCAAAGTTCACTATTTAAGAAATAATTGTTTTCAGTGGATTGGAACTATCCTTTTTTTCCTCTCAGGAAAGCAGATTATAAAATAGGAGTGTCATATTTCAATCCATTTAGGAAGTTTCTATCAAAATTATATATATCTGCATTCAAAACACAGAGAAGAAGTAAAAGGTATGAATCTAAATGGGAAGCATAGAGCAAAAAAAGGAAGAACTGATTTAATTTCTTGACTTTACTTCAGGAGAATGGGATTCTGTTTAGAATATAAATTCAAGCTCAGTTCTCC